ATTTTTCTTAATAGGTACATAATATCGTATATCCCCCCATATATCGTCACCTTTCTATATTAGGTATTTTAAAGATTTTAAAAGAATTTTTAATGGTTTTTTTTTGGAAATTTTCTAATTCGTTCCAAATGGTGGAGGGTATTAAAAGTTCGGCCCGGCCGAACTTAATGCTTTTTTACTTGTTCAATATTGGAACCGATATGAGTAAGCTGTGGGTATCTAAGATCATCTTGACGGTAATCAAGAGAAGAAGAAAAGGCTCACTTGCATCACTTAGTAGGTCTGATCTAAATCGATCGCGGTTGTTATAGTAACTGGCACCTGCAGTATTAGATATCTGACCTCAAGATGACAAAACAGTGTTTTAGACTACTATACACTATTTGAAGATAAGAAAATAGGCGAAGACGATTGAACGCTTACTATGCAGTTGTCCCATGTTATCTAAAAAGAGACATGTGCTATTTGGTAGTTAAGAGATAAAAACTCTAAAGTTCTTCTCAGGCATAAATCTCACAATTACCTAAAAGTTTACCAAAGGCATTTCCTGACTAGAAATGATTACCCTGTTAACTACTTCTCTCTATAAACCCGTTCTTCTCTTAATCGCTTCTGAATCTCTCATATAGCCAACAACTTTATTTTTGCTAGGATGAATACAATGAGGTTTGAGTAAAGTAGTTGCTGATTTCCGTGTAGCTGCGCATCCTTAAACCAAACCCAGCTGTGGGTAACGGCTACTGCTTTCGTCGTGGGTAGCAGACACTCTTCAGGCTTTACTTCTCTCCATCATGTTTTCTATCAGCAGCACAGCACCACAACCGTATTACTCGCCATATCCACATAGATCTGTGGAGGACTCAACCAGAACAGGCCGTGCCATAGGACATTATTAGTACCTTTTGACTTATCAAAGGCCTTTGACACTTGTGGACAGGAGTGCGTCGATAATACTACCCTCCGGCAGAGTATCAGGTGAAACGGAGTTCACCAATGTTCAGAATAGCGAAACACCTTACAACAAGAGAAACAACAACTTAAAAAGCAATGAGGGTATATCGTTCAAAGTTTTCACATCTTAATCTTTCTGTTAACTTTATGTCAGATGAGGAAGGGGACAACATCGGTTGACTCCTTCTTGAACCTTCCCCAAAGGGTCCTTAAAGGTAAAATGTGGGAACAGCGCCTGCATACATTCGATCTGGTGTAAATATGGTACTTATCGGTCCACTTCTTCCGGTACCTCCCCAAAAAGAAAAAAAACGCTCAAATCATGCGAAAAAATTCAGCGAATTTTCTTAAACTTCGTATATCTCAATATTTCTATCAACCAAAGTTCTAATGTAAAAATCGGACTTATCTGCCAATTATCTCTGGTACCCATCCCACAGGGGAGTTTTATATTCGAAAAAGGATTAAAATTAGTTTTGCGTATGATTTAGGTCTGGAAACATACCTTTTCTGTTCGTCAGATTTGTGTCACCTTCTATGTAGCGATAATCTCTGTCTGGAAATGCGCAGAAGACTCAACATCTAGATGGAGGCAATAGAATGAGATCGACAAGAGGCAAAATGTCCATAGAAGTAGAACAAGTTAAAAAGCAGTAAGTTCGGCCGGGCCGAACTTTGAATATCATCCACCATTTGGAACGAATTTTAAAATTTTAAAAAAAATGAAATACTTAAAAAATTCTGTTAAAAAAAAAATACCGAATATAGCCGTTATATTGGGGTCTATACGACGTGGACCTACATAGGCTTTGTTTGTCATAAGCCATTACCATATTCAAATTCGAAATTTGAAATAAACGTGCGAAGACCTGGATCAGCATAGACTTTCTGTCACAGGCTGTAGCATCCATTATGAAGTTCAAATACGACATCTCAAACAATTTCGGATCAGCATAGACAATTTTCTGTCACAGGCTGTAGCATCTATTATGAAGTTCAGATACGACATCTCAAACAATTTCGGTGGGTTTTGTACCTAAAATCGTCAAAATACCGAATACAGGAAAGTACTCGTATATGGGGCCTATACGAAGACGTGGACCTGCACTGACAATTTTCTGTCTTAGGCTGTAGTATTCATTATGAACTTCAAATACCAAATTTGAAACAATTCCGGTAAAGAAATTCGCTAAAATCATCAAAACACCAAGGTACAGTTATATGGGGGCTATACGAAGACGTGGACCTGCACAGACAATTTTCTGTCTTAGGCTGTAGTATCCATTACGAACTTCAAATACCCAATTTGAAACTATTCCGGTAAAGAAATTCGCTAAAATCATTTCGTTAATAGTGCCCGATACTGTAAACGCAAGAGTCTTTACCTTTTCAACTAAACTATGAATCCCTCAATAGCCAAGAATTTTATTTTAATTCACTCGAACCAATATTTAACCTTCAACGACAAATAACATCCTTGATTTATTATAACCCGTATTTTAATAAATGGAGGAGACTTGGGATTTGATTTTTGGGTTAATTAGCTTGACGACTTTTTCTGTATGACGACTTTTTCATGAGTATCTCTGTTGGTTTTGCTTTTAAGCTAACCAATGGTAATATATTTCAGGTTAATGTAAGCTTTGTTACATAAATTAAATAAAATTCCCCCGTTTTCGTAAAAAAATTGATTTACATTGAAATCTCATTACATTCTTTGCCCTTTATAAACACAACAGCATCCTTTAGTTAAATTTACAATTGTTCTTTGTTCTTTTCTTCCCTTAGACTGCAAATGAAATACCAAATTTAATTTGACCTGTACAAAAGGATAAAGGTTCCAGCTTCCTTGTGAGTGAGTGAGGAGTGAGTGTGTGTCCGTATGTGTGTGCCACAATGGAAAATCAATTAACAATACAAATGTGAAAGGTGAAAGGACGACACGTTTGGTCGCAAAAAAATAGATAATGGAGCAAACATGTTGAGAAATCCATTCGCTCATAAAGAACATAAAAATCAATTAACTTTTTGATTTTGTTCTTTAGGGAGACAGAAGGCGAAGTAGAAGAAGTGAAAACAAACATTTGATGGCCGGTCAACTAACCAAAATCCACAACTGACAACGTCGTTGTGTAGTCGTCCTTTATAAACTAATCGCTGGCTAACAGATCCAACCAACTACGTCCATTCCAAGATTACAGAGATAGTAGAGAGCGAAAAGAAAAACAAAATAAAAGTCGACGTCACCCAGCCACATATTTGAAAAGTTCAAAAAGACAACCACAAGGCAAAGCATAGACCAGGAAATAATTCAAGTTTGAACTGCAAAAAAGGTCGAACGTACAGCCAGACAAACACCACACATTGAAGCCAAAAGCAACAGGGCAGGGGCTGAAATCAATCATTTTGGACAGCTCTTCTTCAGTAGAGGAGAGATAGACAGTAAAATAAGGATTAGCTGAGTAACAAAAATGAATAGCAGCAATAGTGATAGTACAACCACCACTACAACAACATCAGGAGCAACAGCAACAGCACCAGCATTGAATGAATTGAAAGCCAGCCAAAATCATACAGCATTTTCCACCACACAACCTCAACAACACAACCTCTTTCCGGTAAAGAAATTCGCTAAAATCATCAAAACACCAAGGTACAGTTATATGGGGGCTATACGAAGACGTGGACCTGCACAGACAATTTTCTGTCTTAGGCTGTAGTATCCATTACGAACTTCAAATACCCAATTTGAAACTATTCCGGTAAAGAAATTCGCTAAAATCATCAAAATACCGAATATCGGGAGGTACAGTTATGTGGGGGCTATACGAAGACGTGGACCTGCACAGACAATTTTCTGTCTTAGGCTGTAGTATCCATTACGAACTTCAAATATCCAATTTGAAACTATTCCGGTGAAAAATGTCGCTAAAATCATCAAAATACCGAATATCGGGAGGTACAGTTATATGGGGGCTATACCAAAAGGTGGACCTACATGGCCCATTTACGAACTTAACCTGCCTACTGGCAAAAGAAACATTTGTGCAAAATTTTAGCCTTCTATCTCAATTCGTTCGAAAGATAGCGTGATTACAACAGAAAGACAGACAGACATCGCTAAATCGACTTAGAATTTTACGCTGATCAAAAATATATAAACTTTGTTGGGTCTGACATGAGTATTTCGAGGAGTTACAAACGGAATGACAAAGTTAATATACCCTCCATAGTATGGTGGAGGAGCAGTAAATTCGGCCTGTCCGAACTTTGATTACCTTATACTATTTAGAAGGTTTTTGCAAATTTCCGTTTAAAAATACTGCTAAAATCATAAAAATGACGAATATATGGATTTACCGCTATGTGGGGGCTATACTAAGATTGATTTAATTCCGGTAATGTCAAAAAAAATCAAAATTCGTTCGGAATCTAGAGTGATTTCGTGATATCGCTTAATTGACATAGAATTTTATGCTGATCAAGAATATGTGTATATACTTTGTGTGGTCTAAAATTTATATTTCGATGTGTTACAAACGAAATGACAAACGTATTATACCATACTACGGTGAAGGGTATATCAATATATCAACCGTTTCGTTAATAGTGCCCGATACTGTAAACGCAAGAGTCTTTACCTTTTCAACTAAACTATGAATCCCTCAATAGCCAAGAATTTTATTTTAATTCACTCGAACCAATATTTAACCTTCAACGACAAATAACATCCTTGATTTATTATAACCCGTATTTTAATAAATGGAGGAGACTTGGGATTTGATTTTTGGGTTAATTAGCTTGACGACTTTTTCTGTATGACGACTTTTTCATGAGTATCTCTGTTGGTTTTGCTTTTAAGCTAACCAATGGTAATATATTTCAGGTTAATGTAAGCTTTGTTACATAAATTAAATAAAATTCCCCCGTTTTCGTAAAAAAATTGATTTACATTGAAATCTCATTACATTCTTTGCCCTTTATAAACACAACAGCATCCTTTAGTTAAATTTACAATTGTTCTTTGTTCTTTTCTTCCCTTAGACTGCAAATGAAATACCAAATTTAATTTGACCTGTACAAAAGGATAAAGGTTCCAGCTTCCTTGTGAGTGAGTGAGGAGTGAGTGTGTGTCCGTATGTGTGTGCCACAATGGAAAATCAATTAACAATACAAATGTGAAAGGTGAAAGGACGACACGTTTGGTCGCAAAAAAATAGATAATGGAGCAAACATGTTGAGAAATCCATTCGCTCATAAAGAACATAAAAATCAATTAACTTTTTGATTTTGTTCTTTAGGGAGACAGAAGGCGAAGTAGAAGAAGTGAAAACAAACATTTGATGGCCGGTCAACTAACCAAAATCCACAACTGACAACGTCGTTGTGTAGTCGTCCTTTATAAACTAATCGCTGGCTAACAGATCCAACCAACTACGTCCATTCCAAGATTACAGAGATAGTAGAGAGCGAAAAGAAAAACAAAATAAAAGTCGACGTCACCCAGCCACATATTTGAAAAGTTCAAAAAGACAACCACAAGGCAAAGCATAGACCAGGAAATAATTCAAGTTTGAACTGCAAAAAAGGTCGAACGTACAGCCAGACAAACACCACACATTGAAGCCAAAAGCAACAGGGCAGGGGCTGAAATCAATCATTTTGGACAGCTCTTCTTCAGTAGAGGAGAGATAGACAGTAAAATAAGGATTAGCTGAGTAACAAAAATGAATAGCAGCAATAGTGATAGTACAACCACCACTACAACAACATCAGGAGCAACAGCAACAGCACCAGCATTGAATGAATTGAAAGCCAGCCAAAATCATACAGCATTTTCCACCACACAACCTCAACAACAGCACCACCATCAGTATCACCACCACCATCAGCAGCAGCAGCAGCGCAACTATTATGCACCCACACCACCCAGTGACCTCTTGTATCATCATCATGCCGGGTCTGGGTCGTCCTCTTCTCTTTCGATATCGGCAGCAGGCGGCATTGCAACGACAGCAACAACGAATCCGACGACGACCAGCAACATCATAGGCAGTGGCAGTGGCAACAACAGTTTTGGCTCAATTAACAAAATGACAGCAACAGTTGATGGTGGTAATGGTGGCAGTGTCAACAACACTACAATCGTACCAAGTACCAACACGACAAATGCCGCCATGACTACAACAACAACAACAACCAATAATGCCAACAGTAGTGGCACCTCCAACAGCACAACCACTAATAGCAGCATACTCGATTATGATAACAGGCAATCGATAAATAATGGTAGTGGTGGCGGTGGCATGGCCACAGTGGGTGGCAATCCAACTGTTGGCGGCAGTGTCTTCTCTAAGCCGCAAGAACGTTATGTCTGGGAAATGCGTGCGCGCAGTCCAAATGTAACACCAGCCAGTACCGTACTTAATTCACCAGATCTCAATACCGATATGCAGTACAGCATACATCCTCATCAGAGACAGTTGCAACAAATACGTGTTGGCCGCAGTCCGGGTAGTCAATTCGAACAGCATAATATACTGCCACAGGTGGGTGGAAATTTCCTTTAGATTTTTTTTTTGTTCACTTAACTTACACACTCTTATTTAAATTGTGGTTGGTATGCCATGTTACTTTTGTAGAGATTTGTAAAGATGTGTTTTTTGGATGTGTCCTGATTATCCTTGTGTGCCGGATTTGAATTCTATACAAGTTATAAATGTATGCATAAGAGCTTTTGTCATATTCTATGAATCTAAAAAGGCCAAATAGAGTTGCTGAGTTGTCGCTAAAGAGCTCCTCTTAAATATCCAATATATGGAATTTCCTCAATGAGCCACAAAACGACTGCTTATTCTTTTTTGCAGGTTTCGAAGTGGTTTAACTCTTTCCCACAATTTACTCATTCCGGTTCCAATGTTGCGACACTTCAGCTGGTCTTGACACGTTTTCCTCTTGTTCTTTTTTACCAACCGATTGATCCCCACTGTAAGTTTAATGACCCTGCAATCAGTAAGATTGGAACGACGGAACTCATCATGCTCAATCGTTGATGACATCTGTCTAAACTAAACTTCTTTTTCGCTGAGCTTGATACTCCTTTTCAAGCCAGAAATATGTTACAACATGGTTTGCGGAGATCAAAATACAACAACACAAATTACCCCAAACTTTTTGGGGTTACCTTTGACAGAATTTTTAAGCCTCAGCTTTCTAGGGTGTTTGCCTCTTTTAAAGCGATAGGTCGGTCTGTGGTTTGCTATATTTGCCCCAGTGTGGTTTGCGAATACTAGTGCTAGACATTGGTAGAGTATCTAGACCCGTCTGAATAATGCCTTGAAAACTGCAGGAGGGTATCTGCTCATGGCACCAGTGGACCATCAACATGAGGAGATGAAGGTTTTTACCTTATGTCAGCATAAACCTATATGCCTCGTAGCAGTACCTGTTGTTGCAAACCAATGGTATGGTGAATAATGTAGAGAGGGCGGCCAAAAGTTATTAGAGAAAACCTATAGATCAGGAAGTCTATCAGGCAGGTCTGAATAGCATTCATATCGATGTCGTCACAGATATTACAATTACTTACCTCATTAATGTTGTCCTCTCAGACAACACCCCATTTATTGCAGCTGAAAAACGTCTGATTGGTTCGAATTGGGCTCGAATTTATAAAGATGTGCGAAACCTCTGTCCTTTGTGTGATACATACCCGCACACTATAATCAGATTAGGAGAAATCAAGACGCAGAATGTATTGCTGCTACAACAACAACAACGTTATTTCCTTAGTCCCGCTGTCTCTGAAATTCTGGCCTTATTTCCCTCATTTGACCTGCAGGTGTATGTCTAATGCTTTCAGAGGTGATGATGTAACGAAAAATTATTTTTGCCACCTGAGCGTGAAGCGTTTTTGTGTAGTTCCCCAAAGCGACTGTTATAACTCTCTGATATCTGAAATCGAGCTACGACTATGGGTAGATTTTGGTTTGGTTTAAGGATGGACAGTTACCGGACACTTGGGAGCAGCTTTACTGGGAGACCTTTGTTCTACTGTGTTCATCCCCGGAAAATAATAATTGGGAGGGAAGGGGAAAGATAGAGAGTGAAATGGAAGAATGGTTTGTAAAGTTGTTTTGCCTAGCCAAGAGATGACTATGACAAAATCATAGATGATAATGAGGCATATCTCTGAGTAGAACGATGCAGTTTCTACCTCCCACCTAGCAAATAGCCTATATCTCCATTAGATAACATGTGACAGTTGCTCGAAACTTACTAATATTTCAATGATCACCCAGTCAAAGCAGGGGTGAGAAAACTCCTCCCTACATCAGGCGAAGTTGTCTTAATGGAACTCTCTCCGAAATCCAGCCAAAGCATGGGTGAGAGAACTCCTCCCTCATGGCGTACTTCTGGCGAAGTTGTCTTAATGGAACTCTCTCCGAAACTAGAATTGATTATCATTTTTTAGGATCCTATCAATCCATGCAATCAGAATAGAGGAAATACCAGAGCATTATGGATCGACTCGAGCTTCAAATTGTTGAAAGCCCTCCCTATATTAAGGAAAGCGGCCAATATAAAGTTGGAGTTTTCCATATTCTTCCCAATGTAATCGACAACTTTGTTTAAGGCAATCTCCACTCTCCTACCTTTGACATAAGAGTGCTGCGATAGGCTTATTGCTAGTGAATTCAAATTTGAACGAATTTTCAGGCCCTGTAACCTTTCTAAGGTCTTGAGAAGAAAGGAAGAAAGGTATATAGTCATCGGGCAATGCGACTTGGTTTCCCAGCTTTAAGAATATGGGTCAGCGCTATCTCGTTCCACAGACAGGGTACGAAATTAAAAGACAAGACTTTCAGATTTTCTACATGATTGGCAACACCGCCTTCATATAGTCAACACTAACTCTAGGATCAGAGGACTTATTAGTTTGGGGTCATTAAAAAGTATTCTACGTAATTTGGAAGCCTTATCCACTACCTCTATGGACTCACAAAAGCTGGTCCAACATATACATTTAGCCTTCTTTAACTCGATATAAGCTTATAAGCAAGGAGGACTATATCCTTGCTGTTTTCTGAAATATTGTCTTAGTTCACAAACAGGCTGGGATCTCCTCCCGGGGTAGGTGATTGGAAAGGATTTTTCACAGCTTGAACGAAAAAAAATTAAGACAACATTCACATCTCTCTCTGCGTCATTGGATGATTGCACACCACGAGGTTAATATTTCAACTCTGACCGTAAGAAAATTGAATTTGGCCCAGTCCGCTCCCTTAATTTTCAGACAATTTTTATATTTCGATTCCTTTTCTGTTATATAAATCCTATTATTACACATGACTTATAATTCTATTCTCATCTTTTAATCTTTTCTTTTTTTACAATTCCATTACAGGGTCTTGCCTCTCCTGGCTCTCCGACAGATGTGGGCAAAGCCGATGGACACTGTTTGCGTGATGGTGAAATTGTCGTCTTCGATGACATCGATACAAATTGGATGAATAAATCGAATAATTCATATTCGTCCAATCATTCCTCAGGTCAGCATCATCGTGGTGATTCATTTCACGGCAATGAAGATATACTAAAAGTGACAAAAATGATAGGTCAATTGCCGATAGCTGAGTATGAGGGATCACCACGGCGTTTTGGCAATCAACAACAGGGCACCCAAAAATCCGGTAGTGGTGGTGGAACTACAACAACCGGTGGAAGTATTTTACCAAAAAGGCCACCCGGTTTTCCGCAACGTGTCTCGCCCATGGCTGTGTTAACACCCCAACAGCAGCAGCAACAACATCAGGAAGCTGCCCATGCACGGCATCAACAAATGCAACAACAGCATCAATTTTATGCCCAGGCCACCAGTAGCGGCAGTTGCAGTAATGCTTCATTTTTTAACAACGATACCGCAAGCAACAACAAATCATCGCCAATTGGCAATCTAATCGATATAGATGGTGATGGTGATATCTTAAATTCGTCCACAAATCAATCGCAAAGTTCCAGTCATGAATCAACGAAATCGAAAGTGAAAACGCCAACATTCGATTATCTCTATGAATTCTCAGAGACACGTAAAGTTTTGGAGGATTTCTTCAAGGGCAACAACGATGATGAGAAACGTTTTACGGATTTCACAGAGAGTGGCGATGACATGGGTAGTTGTGTAAGTTGTGGAGGCAATTTGAAATGATAATGATTTTACATTAATATGTGTTGTTTTTTTTAATAGGACACCCATCATGAGTACACCAGCCAATTTGGCCAGACACCTGACGAGGACTTACATATCGAACAATCGTATATTGGACAACGTTTAGCTAGAATACCCAAAGAAGAATTATACCTGGTACATCGGTCACCCAAGAAACAGGTATGGTATATATTCTAAAAATCACCATGGATGTACTGTAGCTTGACCTAGAAAAGAACCGTCATATCATTGTCTTTCAGGACGATTAGTGGCTTAACTCTTATGTTAGGTTAGGTTGCAAAAAAGGGCGAAGCGATCGACACATGTCCTGGTGACATACACTTAAACCAGTACATGCCTGTTGTGCGCTCTAGACTAAAAGGTCGTTGAAAGAAGATGGTCCCATTATTGAATGGATTGATAGGATGCCAAAAAGCAGGATAATCTGTACTTGGTGTTGATAAGTGCTAGAAATATTCGAACTATTTCTTTGGTTAGGTTAAAGGATGCGTGGTTGTGTAAACAACCACTCCACTCGGTGACCTATTGGCCCATTGTGTTCATCCTAATTTAAAGAAAATGGAAGAATAAAATAACGAAGGGGAAGGAAACGAATAGTGAAGATCTTCCAAGGGACCATAACAATGGTCTGGGAGCAAACCCCGCAGACTGAAATTGGGCTATGTACAAGAAAACTTAAAGTAGGCAAATTTACGATGTCAGTACAGGATGGAGTGATGCTGGCTCTCATCGAAGAAAATGACAGGAGATGACTCTTGGAAATCGGTAGCAAGGTATCTAAGTCAATCTGGTGGGCAATAATGCCTATTGCGGTAGGCATTTTACTGGTAATTTCCCTAAAAATGCGATAACAGCGGTTTTAGCTATAGTAGACTATTATTGAGGAAGAAGGCGAGGTAGAGACGATGGAACACATACAATGTAGATGTACCATGTTATCAAACAGGAAGCATAGGCTATTTGGTTGGTGGGGGGAGGTAGAATCTCGAACGTTCTTCTCACACGTAGATTCCATCATTCTATAGAGGTTTGTTAAAAACATCTCCAGGCTAGGCAACCCTTCCTTCTTAGCAATACATCTCTACAAATCTTTATTTTTTCATCTATATCTTTCCATTTCCTAGAACAAAGGTCTCTTAGCCTAGCATCTACTGACTTGTTAAACCTAACCTAACGTAACGTAACGTAGTCGTAATACTTTCCTGGTATAGGGTATTTGGAGTCGATCTAGCGATATCCGTCTGTCTGTCTGGTACCTCCCTCATAAAAAGTTGAAATTTTCAAAAAAAAAAAAAAAAAAAAATGCTCAAATTTTGCTAATTCTAAAATTTGCATTAGTGCAAGGTCAGGTGCGAAAACAGACTATATCGGTCCAGTACCTCCTCCACAAAGGGCCTACATTTTGACTAATTATAATTATATAAAATTTGATATAAGAGTCCGATTGTCTTCATATTACACACATCACAATATCTTTATTAATCCAGAGTCGGGTGTGAACATGGAATATATCGGGTCAAATTTTTGAATATTCATGAAGCTCATACAACACGAAATTAACATCCGGTTCCATTCAGACTTGGCACATCTCAAATGGTAGAGATTGGACCATTCCTTCTGGTACCTCCCCCACAAAGGGTTGAAGTTTTGAATGAGCAAACGTTCATAAAATCCGAAATAAGCATCCGGTTCTCTTCATACTTCACACAACCCATTATTTCTACTAACTCAAGATCTGCCGTGAAGATGGGATATATCAGTCCACTCCTTCTCCCGCAAAGGGTCAAAATTTTGAATATCCATGAAGCTCACGGCACGAGGAGGAATCAACATGCGATTCCATTCAGACTTAATACATCTCAATATTTCCATCAACATCTCAATATTCCATCTGTAATAGAGATGTTAGAGATCGGATCATTTTTTCCGGTGCCTCCCCTAAATAGGGTTCTAGGTTTTTAGGAACAAATTTTTTTGCTAAGTGCAGATCTGTTGCAAGGATGATATATATAAGTGAACCCCTTTGGTACCTAATCCACAAAAGGGTCACAATTTTCAATACTTTTATCGGTCATAATTTGCGAGACAAGTCATCGATTCCTTACAACTTGCTATATCTAAAAATTTCTCTCAACCAGAAACCTGAGATGAATATGGAATTAATGTTTTGGCATAAAATTGGGTACAAATGTTTGGTTTCCTTCTATTTTTGACCATACCACTATTTTTTATCTGTATTAGATAAAGTATGGAAATGGAATACTTCGATCACCTATATCTGGTACCTTAAAATTTTCTAAAAAATATTACATATCTCGTATAAAGTGAATGAAGTAACCAACATAGTCCAAACCTGGCACGTCACAATATTATATACGAAATGGACAAACCTACTCCATTGAAGGTCAACAATTTCAGTAATCATAACAGAAGTCAAAATATATTTAAATAATTGAACATTTGTTGAGGTTTTACATCTTTCGGCAAAACCGTCTCATGTCAAATTGATGTATTCCGGAATCACTTGAATTCGTAATATAACTACTTTTTTTTAACCCAATTAATGTTTAATTTATTTCGAAAATGTCGCAAAATAAAACTGTTTTTAGTAAAGCTGTTTTTTACCCAAAAGACAAAAACTGAGCAGTCTGGCTATATACACAGACGGATCCAAGATGGATGAAGACACAGGCGCTGGCGTATTCTGCCATAATCAAATTGTGACTATATATGTCAATAGTCCGGCGGCCGATCAAGTGTCATGGATGTCGATTTATCCATTCTTGATTGCAGGAAATCCCTCTGGGAATTAAGGGACTTTGTTAGGTTTTGTTGTGGCCCAGGACATAGCAATGTATCGACTGATCTACCAACTGATGAGACGATCAAACCATCGATAAGCTATTATGTTAGCCACTTGTAAACGTTTTCGTCGAAGAAGCTGTTAGAAGATTTCAATTGGAAAGTATCAAGAAGGACATTGTCCCTCCTAACAATAAGTATCGCAGTAGGAGTATTAACTAACCACTGCAGTATCAGATATCTGTCCTCAAAATGGGATAACAGTGGTCCTCACTGCAGTAGTCCATATGAAGATGAAGAAAGGCGCAATTGAAAACCTACTTTGCAGATATGGGCTTTATCAAACGGGAGACATAGGATATTTGGCAGGTGAGAGATAGAATTATACCAGGAAGAACACAATGGATCAGAGGGTTCCGAGTGAAACGGCTGCCGACTACTGTGCACGTCCTTTGACCTAACTTAACCCATCTCCTTTTTTAAAGATTCGAAAATTAAAAAAAAAACTTTCAACGATTTCTTCTAAGTAACATTGCAGATTGCATTATCAAATATACGGCTTTCTAGTCGTATCACCTTCTTTTGAAAACATAATTTCTTTCAACCAAACTGATGTAGTTCGGAATTACTTGAACTTATGATCGAACTTCCTTTTGGGGCCTTTATTGGGAAAATCTTGCTAAAAAAGGTTTCAGTTAGGATGTTTAATACCCTTTCAAAACGGCCTTTCGAACGGTTGCGGAGACAAAAACAGGCGTATAACTATTTACGGAACTATATCAAAACATCAACTTAATCCCATTTCAATAACAATTTTTTAATATATAATTATACCTGAGTAAGATTTCCAAGGCATTTGCTCAATATTACCCGACATCACTTGAAATAGATTTTTTTTTAATTTGTAGTCGATTAAGAATTTGTACTCTGGCCCAACTTGAGTTCTTCTAGATGTCACAAACATTCTAAGAAAATCAATATACCCTCTTTATCTTAAGGTAGAGGACACAAAATGACAAAATTCTCCTCTATTTTGGTCCACCCTTAACCTTAGCAAGCAATTCATGTTATTCGAAAAATTCGTGGATTTTCATTCCAACATGTGTGTGCATTTTTCTGTGTTCCGATGAATTGTCAAGTGTGCTATAAAGGCGGCGTTAGCGCAGGGGAAATGCACAAATTATGTATTTTTAGACCTCAAAGCCAATGGTGGAAAACTTGTGCGTCGCATTTTCTCTTTTGTTCTTTTTGTCTTGTTTTGAAACATTTCTTTCAATGGTTGGCATTTTTTTTTCTCTATTTATTTTTAACATACAATTTTATTTCCAGAAACAAATGGCAACGACGCAGCAGCAGCAGCAACCACAACATCAACATTCTCATCCTCATCAGCAGCAGCAACATTCCACTTCTTCTTCTTCGCAGCAGCTGCCGCAGCACCAGCACAATCAACACCACCAGCCATGTGACAATATTCTCTACAATGACAACAACGACATTGAATTGTATATCGATTCGAATAGTCGAAGCAGTGGTGATTTGGCTGACACAGAATTGGAAGCAAATTTACGACATCATTCGCGTAATTTCACACTGTCTCCGGAGACAACGGATTACGACTCGAATTGTGGCGATTTGGATAGTCTGTCGAATGATATCAATTGTACCACAGATTATGGCAAACTTTACACTAGCATGCCAGTGCTAGAGGACGGTCTTTCGAGTGGTCACGCATCCGATACAGAAAATAATTGTCAAAAATACGATTCGAACGGTGGTGGTAGTGGCAGTGGCAGCGGTGAGGGTGGTGGTGGCGAGGGTTGTGGCAGCAGCAGTAATAACGGCAGTGGCAGTGGTCATCACGACGAGAGCATGGATTTCAATGAAAAACTACAGCAACAGGAAATGTTGGAGCAAAATAAATACAATAATAGTTTAAAGCAAGAGTGCATGGATAATAATTGTAGTGCTAATAATTTAATTACCAATCTGGTGGATGTTGGTGATGATGATGACGGCGAGCATGAGGGCATGATGATGAGTGGACGTCTCAGTGGCAATGGGTTGGGTGGTGGTAGTGGCGTTGGTGTTGGTGTTATTGGTGGTTTAAGTGGTCTCTGTCTTACTGGCGATGGTGACTATAAACAACAACAACAGCATCAACCACATTGTTTGGACTTAATAAATACCTCAGATAATAATTGCTGTAACAATGATAGGTCTCTGTATGAGCCAATTTACGCCACAGTCAATAAACAACATCATCATCAACAGCAGCAGCAACAACAACAACAACAGCAGCATCAACAATCTCCTCCACCACCACCTGCACCACAACCACACCGTCCACAGCTACAGCAACAATTGCAGCAGCCACAATCACAACAATCACGCCATCTAAAACACCCCGGTCGTGCGGAATCAGTTGAAATCCAAGAAGCTATGAAAGAAATACGCTCCGCTCTACAACGAGCTAAAACTCAACCAGAAAAATTGAAATTTTGTGATGAAGTTCTACCACCCGATCCAGAGTCGCCCATATGGGTACCACGTAAAAACAATGAAGATTGTAATGTCATTAATTCGGAGGGTGGCGAAATTATTGGCTCAACACTGCTGGTGGATTCCAACAAAGTTCAATGTGATGAAGAGGAACCCGATACTGACCTGGAAACGGATCGTTTGTTGGGACAACAGCGCAACGATGAACAGGATTTCTTTGATGATAAGGTAAGAGGGGAGAGAGAAATCAACTTTAAAATTTGTGAACAAATTGGTGTCAAGAAGGTCCAAACATTTCTTTTAGATGAAGAACTTTAATAGGTCTTCTGACGATGGGAACCTTTAGAAGAACATTTCAAAAATCCTCTACTTACAGAATACCACTTAAATCTCATATGGAATATCTTAAGAGGCCCTTTTGCATATAGGCAACTTTTATTAGAATGTCTCTGCAAAATTACTCCTGCCTGACATTTAAAACTCATTCCTTCTATGGAAGACCTTCAAAAAGTGTTCTGTCTTTTGAAAAACTTAGAACAATAATTTTTCTAAAGAAAAACTCTTAAATATACTCTGTTTCTATAGATAAACCCTTTTAGGATATTTTTTTATTAGGACCTTAAAAAGACTTATACTCACAGAAGACCTTTAAAGGTTTGTTTTACGACGTGATCATATAAGGAAGAATATGTAGTTGTGATAGTAGAGATATTATTGCGAAAAGAAGGAAAGGTTTGTAGAAATGTTTGACGGGATATACGACTGAGAAGAATGTTAAGGTTTATAAATTCCATCAGCTTAATAGCCTTTATCTCCTGTTGGATAACATAGGATATCCGTATTGTAGGTATTCGATCGTCGTTAACTATTCTTCACCCTCACACAGTCTAGAGACCACTATTATCCCATTTTGAGGTCAGATTTCTGATGCAACTATGGCCCGTCAATCCTAACAACCAGGGGAGTGGGAGCCTGCTAAATGGTGAACAATCTCTAAGCCGGAGTTGGTCTACATTCCATCATCTGGTATGTGGGGTAGCCTGTTGTCCTTTCTGTGATCCTCTCATCCCCCTCTGTATGGCGTTGGGTAGGTGTCAGTGATTGTTCACTACCACCTAAATCCTTACAATCAAGAAAGTGGGCGCCTGTTAGAATCTGAGGAATCTCTAAGCCAGAGTTGGCCCACATACCATCACCTGGATTTATACTGCCTATGGGATTGTGGTCCTTAGACAGTATTTTACGAAATCTGCAAGCATTATCCACTCCCTCTATAGACTCACAAAAGCTGATCCAAAATCTACATTTAGCCTTTTTATACCCTCCACCTTGGAAAGGAGGGTATATTAACTTTGTCATTCCGTTTGTAACATCCTTAAATATTCGTCGTAGACCCCATAAAGTACATATATTCATAATCAGCATAAAATTCTAAGTCGATTTAACGATGTCCGTCTGTCTGTCCGTCTGTCTGTCCGTCTGTCTGTCTGTCTGTCTGTTGAAATCACGATACAGGCCACATTATTTGACGTAGAGCGCCAACATTTAGCAGAGCTATTTGCATTGTGTCTAGGATGGTTGGTATTGAAAATGATGATATATCGGTCCACGTTCTGGTATAGTCCCCATATAACGGTACCTCTCGATATTCGGTATTTTGATGGTTATTGCCACATTTTTTCACGGATTTGTCTGAAAATTGGTATTTGTAGGTCATAACGGGTCCCTGTACGTATGGCAAAACATTGCATGTATAAGTCCACGTTTTGGTATAGCCCCCATATAAAGGTACCTCCCGATATTCGGTAATTTGAATATTTTTGCCACATTTTTTCACGGATTTGTCTAAAAATTGGTATTTGTTGGTCATAATGGGTTCTAGCTTCGGTAGCGAAACATTGCATGTATGGGTACACGATTTGGTATAGCCCCCATATAACGGTACCTCCCGATATTAGGTATTTTTATTGTTTTTGCCACACTTTTCCACTGATTTGTCTAAAAATTGGAATTTGTAGGTCATAATGGGTCCTAGTTCGTGTGGCGAAATATTGTATGTATAGGTCCACGTTTTGGTATAGTCCTCGTATAACGATACCTCCCGATATTCGGTATTTTGATGATTTTTGACACATTTTTTCACGAATTTCTCTGAAAATTGGTAGTTGTAGATCATAATGGGTCCCGGTTCGTGTGGCGAGTCATTGTAATTATAGGTCCGCGTTTTGGTATAGCCGCCATATAAGCGTACCTCCCGATATTCGGTAATTTGATGATTTTTGCCACATTTTTTCACGTATTTGTCTGAAAATTGGTATATGTAGGTCATAATGGGTTCTAGCTCCATTGGCGAAACATTGCATGTGTAGGTCCACGATTTGGTATAGCCAATCATATAATGCTACCTCCCAATATTCGGCATTTTAATGGTTTTTGCCACGTTTCTTCTAATGTTTCCTTTACCCTAAGGTGGAGGGTATTAAAAGTTTGGCCCGGCCGAACTTAATGTTTTTTTACTTGTTTCAATTAACTTCTGTCAAAAACATGAAGTCTTCCTTACAGTTTTGATGGTCCTGTTATATGATCTCACACCGTAAGAGATTTGAATTTGCCCCAGGTCTGTTTTTTTTTGATCCTCTATAAGATTATTGTTTAACTCCTCATATAGCCATCTGAAAGAATATAATTTTGTGATCTTGAAAAGGAACATTTTTCATATTTCTTTTCAGTTTTCAGTTGCTAAAAGCAGATTCGTTCATATTGGAGAGGTTTATGTCAATGCCTGCACCCCTCTTACGTAGTTCTGAAAAGTTGGACCTCTAACAGGCCTTTTGTCTATGGAAAAACCTACAAAAGGACTTATATTTCAAGAAAACCTATTGCAAACCTAAGATGTTCTGCCTATAGAACACCTGTAAAAGGTCATATTTCTTATTCTACTGGTTTAAGAAGACGGATAAAAGACATTATAGAAACTATGTAAAATATCTCAGAATGTTCTTCTGTCTATTTAAGACATTTGTAGTGTTTTCTGCCTATCGAAGACCTCTAAAAGGAGAGACATTTTAAAAGTAATCTGTTTGCAGAAAAAAACCTTAAAAGGTCATATTTTGTAAAAGTGATTATAAATGGCTTATATAAAGGTCTTCTTTAAATAAAAAGACTTAAGAAGCAAGTTTGAGATTTACCCCTAAATATTTTCCCCTGTCGTAAAAATTAATATATAATTGCTTTTAAGCTACATAATAATATTAAAATAATATTGTTAAAACACTCATCTTGATTATGACAATAAAATAAATATAACATTACAATCGATTGTGGTTTGCTATAAAGAATATGTCTACCTATAAAAAGAAAACAATGTGGTGAAGCTGAAATTCTTTCTCACTCGACGGTATATTAATTTTTTTAAACAAATTCTAATGCATTTATATCAACATGCAACGATTTCATTTTATTTTTCGTTTCTATTTTCAGACAATATGGCCCAAAACCTCGCGCATTGGTTCTACCATCAATTCCAGTGATCATTCACCAACCACTTCGGATATTGCAAAAACATTGCATGTTAAACCACAATTCTCCTCGGCCACCATACGTCAGGGCATTGGTACATCTTTGACACCCAATTCGCCGGAGCATTGTCAAATGGTGGGCGGTACCGAGATACCGATGACAACACCCGAGAAAATAACCTATACCAAAAGTCCAACGGGATCCATTAAATCCCTTAAGGATTCAGCTAACAGTGATAAAAAAGCAAAATCTCGCAACAAAGAGGGTAAGTGTTTAACAGATGTTTTGCAGATGATGTGTGACTGTCGCAAAAAAAAAATGCTTAATGAAATTTCAATGTATTCTCTCTTATCTTCTTTCTACATTGTTTTCTGTCTGTTCTGTTCTATTTTGCACGCAATCATAAATTTGCCCCTACCACCACTTATAAAACACACATAATATGTTTGTGATCTTTGTGGTGGTGATGGTGGTGTTGATGTGTATGAATTGGATGTAAGTTTCTAACAAAATATATTTGGTAGATTTTTTTAGTTCTTTATTTCGAAGAGCAGTCTCCCCAGGGAAGGTCCATATAACTTATAAAAATTAGGGCATAATATTAGGTTATGGTATTCAAAAATTAAGAATCAACAGAATTAACTGAGGTCTTCGCCGTTGGCTGAGTAGAATACAGGCAGTCCTGGATTGCGGACCGGACTGTCCAAATAATAAAAATTTGAGTATATAACGAGTCAGGACATACAAAGATTAATTTCAAATCCTTTTCGGGAGAGAACCAACTAGAAAAAAATTAAATTTTCTATGTAAAGTATACAAATGATACAAGTGTAGAGATTTCAGAGAGGCCGGTCCTCCAGGGTCCATTCTTTATTGCATTCTTTTGCTGTTTAAAATGTGAGAAATATACGTTTGGAGTCAATGACATTTAGATTATGTGTTTGTATTGGCTTATTGGTGATCATGTGATGGAGACAGACGGCACGGTGTACGTCGATCGACGGCTCGATGATATTCGGATATGGATGTATGCAGCTTTGTGTATTGACGTTGATGAAGTCGGCTTCATACTATACGTCTGGGCAATAGCTTTACGATGTGGACGGCCAGATGTATGATCATGTTTAAGTTATTGAAGTAACAATCGGGTTGTAATATGGTGCAGTCTACTGGACGTGCTCAGTTTAATGTCATCGGCTAGGTGACAATAAGGTTGTATTATTCTGGTGCAGTCTGTTTGACGTGTTTAGGTTAATGAAGTAGGTTTAGAGTATTCGAAGTCGGCTTGATGAAAGCGATTAACTGGGTAGATGAAGTCGGATAGACGACTTGATGATAGTTGGCTCGATGATATTCGGGCTGTTGTAGTCGATATTTTGTATTTGGGCTGATGAAGTCGGCTTGATAACAGATGACTGGGTGTAAGAGCCCATTAAATGTTATTCGAATTATACGAATTAACGCCTAGCCCAGTATTCGGGCCATTAACAACTACAGTATAAATGTAATCCTGCGTTCAGGAAAATAAAGGATGGTGCAGTCGTCGTCTGCCCAGCGTGTTTCTACGCTGTATCTCTTGATTTTTCCTGCCAAACCTACACAACTCTCTCCTGAAGATCTTTGGATAGGTAGATGAATTTAAAAAAAAAAGAGTTAGAACCCGATTGACAGAAATTAACACGTTGTTGTTGTAGCAGTTCCAACTGCTGCGTCCCTTCTGGCTCATCTCAATCCGGTCCAGCATCAAGAAGGACACAACCTGTATAGGTGTCCACAACAATACTGGAGTTAGTTGAATAAGTTTGGCTGGACAGTGAAATAGATGCGGTGTGTCATGTGGGCCTTCTTTACATTGCTGTCAATCCGGTCCCAATGCAAATTAAGGCGACTGCATCACCCGGATATTAATTGTGCAAAATCAAACGGTTTTGTCCAGGCAGCTCTCGATTTTCAGCAGCGGGTTTAAAGGCTGATGGTCTCCTAGTACGGTATTCCCTCTATAATCCTCCATGACTTCTGAAATGGGAATGATTGCCATTCAGAGTCTATCTCTTATACCTCTAACTCTCTCTCTCTATCTAAATCACGAAGGCCTTTCCTAAGGTGCAAAGGCGGTGGTTGCATATCCAGCTGGTGTTTGGGATGGCTCTGTTTGTAACACCCAAGCGTTTATTGAATTGTCAGCATTTTATTATTCTGTTGCTCCGAAACATCTATTCCTGTTACAACAACCACGTCTGAGAAAATATTTAGAGTTTCTGACGCTCACATAGCCTTTGTCTCCTGTTCAATAGCTCTATTTCTTCTGATACTACAGATGCCTAAGGCGATTCCTAGACTTTACCAACAAATTAATGGAAGGGAATAGATTTATCTTCTCGATATTGTCAGCCAGATAGCCTTCTTTCCAAGTACCATCTCCCGCCAACTTATTAGATTACAGTCATTCCGTTTGTAACACCTCGAAATATACATTTTAGACCCCGCAAAGTATATATATTCTTGATCAGCATAAAATTTTATGTCGATTTAGCCATATTCGTCTGTGGAAATCACTGTAGCTTCCGAACGAAATGAAGGTTGATAGAATTTTACTCAAATGTATATTATGTCTGCATGACTTTTGGTATTGAAAATGGACCATGTAGGTCCACGTTTTGGTATAGCCCCGATATAACGGTACCTCCCGATATTCGGTATTTGGATGATTTTAGGTATATTATTTACCGGAATTGTTTCAAATTTGGTATTTGAAGTTCGTAATAAATACTACAGCCTATGACAGACCCCATGTAATGGTACCTCCCTATATTCGGTATTCACCGAAATGTTTTTCAAGTTTCGCATTTGAATATTGTAATGGTTTATGACAAAAGTTTCCTATGCAGGTCCACGTCGCGTATAGACCCTAAAATAACGGCTACATTCGGTATTTTTAGGATTTTAAGAGAATTTTTAACAAATTTTATTTTTATTTGAATATTGCCAAATTCGTTCCATATGGTGGAGGGTATTTAACCTACAGCTTTTTTACTTGTTAAAACAGTTGAAAAAGATACCTGTCGGTAGATTCGGCAACCCCTAAGTGTAAAAGTTGATGGACCCATATTACGATTGTCAGCTTCCCCAAGGGCTTAGGCTTTTATTCAATAACCGTTATTGCTACTATTCCGATATATTTGATCATATGAAAATTATCTTGGCGGGAATCATTTTTTTTTTTTTTTGACTACTGGTATTAGTATTTTATAATTGTGAGCAATCATTTCCTTAAACAAACTATTTTCTTTATGTATTTCAACTTCTTTAGAAACCACTCAATTCTCATTTTGTTTGTCTTCAAATTCGTAGGCTGTTTCTTGGATCCGGCAGTATTAATCGAAGGTGTTCTATTTCGTGCCCGTTACCTTGGCTCCACACAATTGGTGTGTGAGGGACAACCCACAAAGTCCACACGAATGATGCAGGCCGAAGAGGCAGTGTCACGCATTAAGGTAAGTATTCGGAGGATGGTGGGGGTCATACCGACCCACTCCTCCCTCCCTCCCTCTCATTTAATAAATGATACTGTTCATTGCATTCTTCTATTCCTTTTTAATGCACGGCTAGCCTCTATATAAAACGAAACCAAACATAAATTAATTAAATCTTTATAATAAAACATTTGTTTTTTTATACAAAAATTTCCCTTCTATAACAAAAATGCTGCTATAACATTGTTGAATTTGAATTTGCTTGATTGAATTAGGCTTTGGTAAGTTCATAATATGATAAAAATATAACCTATTCTTCTTTAACCCATAAAAATGTTAATAATAACCCCAAACACCCCTTTTCATTCATAAATGTTGTTTGTTTGTTTGTTGTTGTTGTATTGTTTTTGGCTTTCCCCCCTAGACAAATTAGAAATTGAATATTTTTTTCTAAAATACAAAAATTTTCGTTTCGTAACCTTTTTGTAGGCTCCCGAGGGTGAAAATCAACCCTCCACCGAGGTGGATCTGTTCATATCAACCGAAAAGATTATGGTTTTAAATACCGATCTAAAAGAGATCATGATGGATCATGCTTTGCGTACCATTTCCTACATTGCCGACATTGGTGATTTAGTTGTATTAATGGCACGCAGAAGATTTGTCCATTCGGATCCTTGTAATTCCACTGGTGGTACAGGTGGAGGCAACGGCGACACATGCGATATGTCAGCTGCCAATGGCAGCACCGCCACCAATGGCAAAGACAAGGATGCCAAAGACAACACTACCTCTACAACGACCTCATCATCATCAGCATCGAATAACAAACATAATCGTACACCCAAAATGATATGCCACGTCTTTGAGAGCGACGAGGCCCAATTTATAGCCCAGTCAATAGGACAAGCCTTTCAGGTGGCCTACATGGAATTCCTCAAGGCCAATGGCATTGAAAATGAAAATCTAGCCAAAGAAATGGACTATCAAGAGGTATTGAATAGTCAGGAGATTTTCGGTGATGAATTGGAAATATTCGCCAAAAAAGAACTCCAGAAAGAGGTGGTTGTGCCCAAGGCTAAAGGTGAAATTTTGGGTGTAGTCATTGTGGAATCCGGTTGGGGCTCTATGCTGCCCACGGTGGTCATTGCAAATCTAATGTCTGGCGGAGCGGCGGCACGTTGTGGCCAGTTAAATATCGGTGATCAGCTGATAGCCATCAATGGTCTTAGCTTGGTGGGTCTTCCGCTGTCCACGTGTCAGAACTATATACGTAATGCCAAGAATCAAACAGCTGTTAAGTTTACTGTTGTACCATGTCCTCCCGTGGTGGAGGTGAAAATATTGCGTCCTAAAGCATTATTCCAATTGGGTTTTAGTGTTCAAAATGGTGTGGTAAGTACGAAGAGAGAGAGAGAGATATTCAGTCCTATTGACATAATTTTAATTATGTCCATTTTTTACAGATTTGTAGCCTTTTACGTGGTGGCATAGCGGAGAGAGGTGGAGTACGCGTTGGCCATCGTATTATTGAAATAAACAATCAAAGTGTTGTGGCAGTGCCTCATGACACTATAGTTAAGCTCTTGTCATCGTCCGTGGGAGAGGTAAGTTGAAAGTAACTGCATAATATTGTCAAAGTCGTTCACATTGAGGGACTAGTCAGAATTAATTTTAGTAAATCCAAAACGAAATAATTTCGTTTTGGGTGGGGCTTTTAGTAGTTGTCTCAATCTAGTTCAAAGTTCAGTACCAGTTCCTAAACGTATGAGCGATTTCGTAATTATACCCTACACCACAAGGTGGTCAGGGTATTATGTCTTTGTGCATTTGTTTGTAACAGGAAAAAGGAAACGAGATAGACCCATAGTTCCTTTTGATGATCTGCATATAATCACATTCTGAGTCGATTTATGCATGTCCGTACGTCCGTCCGTCTGTCCATGTATTTTTGTAAACAAAGTACAGGTCGCATTTATTGCCCGATCCAGATGAAATTTTGCACAGATCATTTGTTTGGCCCAAGGACGAACCCTATTGAAATTGGAGATAATCGGTCAAAATTTAGATATATCTCCCATATATATCTTCGTCCGATTTGCCTTTAATTGTGCACCAAACGTGTAATATCAGCCCGAATTGTATGGAATTTTGCAGATATAGCTATAGCTCCCATATAAATTGTTCATCCCATTTGTTATTTTTGTCATCCGCAGCCGTAATATGCACTCTGCAACAACAATATTTGGGGAAATATGTCAAATACAGCTCAGAAATACATTTGATAAACTTTATCGAGATCGGTTCAGATTTTTATATAGCTCCCATATATAACTTCGTCCGATTTACCTTTTATTGTGCACCAAACGTCTAATATGTGTCCAAATGGGATGGAATTTTGCACTTACGACCGAATTGAGTCTAGAAGCTAGTATGTTAAATTTGGTGAAGATCGGTTCAGATATAGCTATAGCTTCCATATATATTATTCATCCGATTTGCTATATTTGTTACCCACAACCGTAATATGCTACGGAGTGCAACAACGATATTCAGGGAAATATATCAAATTCAGCTCGGAAATATCTTTGCCAAATTGTATCGAGATCTGTTCAGATTTGGATATAGGTCCCATATATATCTTTATCCGATTTCAAATTAATTGTGCACCAAATGGGCAATACAATTCCAAATTTAAAAGATACAAATGCTTCGGCATATTTAGTCCTTAGAACTTTAAATTATAATTATAATCATAGCGCGTATGATTGCATTCTCTCATAAACAACTTTTAATTGTTATGTGGAGCTCTGCTAAATTAGCAAAGTGGTGTAGGGTATCATAAAGTCGGCCCCGCCCGACTTTAAGACTTTCTTTAATTTTTTTTTGGAAATTTCTAAATTTGTACCAAATGGAGGGTATTGAAAGTTCGGCCCGGCTGAACTTACAACTTTTTTACTTGTTTTTATATATTTTATATCACTCATGCGCAAAGTTTTCATACAAACTACCAGATTCCACGGAACTAGATAAGGAAATAGTTCGTTCAAACAAGATTGGTACAACTCTAGTTTTTAGGAATAAAATCTCACAGAAATGGATAAAATTGCATATATCCAGAAAATTCTTCTAGATAACTTTAGTTTTTCACGTTTCCAGAAAATATATACATTTTCTTTTTATGTATTTGGGCAAAACAGAAAGGTCTCGCTTAACATTTCTTGTGCACATATAACATCATAATTGAATTGAATAGTGTAGGTAAACAATAAATTCAGTTAAGAATTGGCAGTTGGTTGTCGTTAGACCCTCACAAATAAGACAAGGTGGGGAGATCTATTCCTCATATTACCTAATGATATGTATAGACGTGGAGCCTATTTATACTTGCTAATTTTTACAGTTGTTTTTACACTTTAGAATTTAAAATCTCGAAATTACTGGATACCCTGGATATCTTACAAATGGTTTCCAATTATCATTTTTATGCAGCGTACTCGATGAGGGGGGCCTTGTTGAGACAGGCGATAACTACCCATTATGTATTTGACTATAAACTATTTTCTGTATACCTCTGACTAAATATCCAAAGTCCCATAATAAATCTGGAAAATGACTAAATAAGTGATTTATAGTCCCCATTTATGTTGGAGTCCTCTGCATAAATAGTCAAACCGTGCCGATGAGGTTCAATACTTGACCTGTCATCCCTGATTGTTACAACTAACTGTATAGGTTCGAAGTAGAAGCCAAAAATGTTGCCATATGCCGTCGAGTATAGGAACTGAATGAGTTCAGAATGTGATCGTGTCTTTCCTTCAAGAGTGTTTGGCATTCTTCCTTCCTTAAAGCTAGGAGAATTTTGGGACTGCTTATAATTCAGATTGGGGAGGACTTCTAATGGCTCCGGTATTGAAAAAGCAATTTAGCTCCAAACATATTCCACCAGACCAGTAACATACATTCAATACACGGCTTATGGTCTAAGTTCCAAACTTATGCCTATGCGGTTTTTCCTATTCATTCGTAGTTGTAACTGTAACATCTACGTGTTGTTTAAAATTCTAAATTTCCTAAATTTCAATATTTAGATTTAAGAAATCAGCTTCTTTGATAGGCTGTAGTCAAAGATCTTCTGGAGTGAGTGGTATAGGTTTGACGGGCCGTTAAAAAGATGCAGTCTTGTATGCATCCCTGCACCATCCTGAACGTAATGGTACCAAAACTAACCTTGTGTGTCTAGGCAGCCGACGTTTTTTAGCTGAAATGCATAGGGTTGGACTCTGAGCACGATATTCATACTGTAGTTGTTGGTAAGGTCTCCTGTTCGCGCCTCCAAGTGCTGCCTGCTAAAGCCTTTATGAGCATGTCGCAACTTTTAAATTTATTACAAATAGCAGTAGCTTGCACGGACGATTTGAATGTGCTGTCGAATGGCACCCCTAGGATTTTGGGATAGATAGTAAATGTCCCTCGATCTGCACATTCAGCTATGTTCTTATCTCCGCAGACCATGTGATAAAGACTGTGGCCGTTGACTTAGTGGCGGATATTCAGGCGGGATTCAGATTTCTCGCGTAAAAGTAGTTGGCCAGCTCCGCGAGGTAGGTGTTCAACCAACACCATGATCGTACAATTATCCCCATACATTACTATCTCTATGTCATCTGAAATGGGCGGAATTCCGGAAAGGGAGAGACAAAACCTCCCGTAGCCAAAACCCACCTTGGTGGTGGTTATGGTAATGACACTACTCGTTCTGGTTTAGTCTTGAACTAATATGCATGGATATGATATGTTAAACGAAATCTGTGTTGATGGCCAGCAACTGCATAGCTTTATCAAATAGTGGAAAGGAGAAAAGTCCTGTATGACTCGCTTTAGCGCATATGACTCGCGGCTTCTAGAGCGATATAATACAGGGTTGCCCATATCCGACGGACCCATCTGGCAACGCCATAACTTTTGACAGAGATGTCACATCGCTTAATGACATACCGCGTTTGAAGCGTCAGTCCAAGCAGATTTTTACCATGAACCAATACACGCCACGCGAGCGCTCTGAAATTTACATTCAACAGAAGAAGTCAATTGTGAAAACTCAACGTGCTTTTAAAACATTAAAAAATGTGAGAAGTGTGCCTTCTAAGAACACCATTGAGCATTTATACGAAAAATTTTCGACTGCTAAGGCTCTTCCTAATCCGAAGAGGCCATATAAAAGTCGACCAAGGCGATCGGCCGAGAATATCGCTGCCGTACGAGCCAGTGTTGAGAGGTCCCCAAGAACATCCCAAAAACGCCGTTCTCAGCAGTTGGGCATAGCTCGGTCCACTTTGTTCACATTTGTTCCCGTACAAAATTCAATTGACGCAAAGAATGTTGCCTGCGGACAAGCCTCGTCGATTGGAATGGGCCCAAAGGTCCGTCGAATATGGGCAACCCTGTAGTTACCCACAGCGTACTCATTTCGGCCTAGCCGCTTTTTTCGCATATGGCTCAGTTGACCGGTTGACTTTCATTGTCACTTAATTTAATATGTTTGCCTCAGTCCCTCTGCCTCTGCTGAGCAATTTGGTCTTATTTCTAGTACAACCGCCAGGTTTCTAACGAACGGCTTCAGTTTTAACATGAGTTCGGCAGTTTACTAAAGCGACGCTTGGAGAACTTGGAACTGCTTATGGATACAATTTTGGGAGATGTTCTAATCCAAATTTTTACCAAGTCACATCTTTTATCAGACCGGGTGACAGTATAGTTAAATCTAGCGAACTCTGAAGGACTTGTGAAACTTTGCGTTTGTTGGCAAATGAATTGTGTCTTTATTTACATTTAAACAATTGTCATGGCCCAGTCTAATAGTCGTACAAAGCCATGCTGTATCAAATTTAATAGGGTTGGTAGAAATCTACCCTTATCAAAATTCAGCATAGGCATATGCATGAATTCCGAGGAATCTTAATCCGAAAATTTCCAAGAGTGTGGAAGAGGTGGGAATTTGCCCCTCTATTTATATAACTTTGCGATGGGAACTTTCGAATCCTTTATTTCTTTGTTTGTTTTACTTTAATAATCTGCTGATTTTTCCCGTAATTATTAATTAATTTTGTCTCACATCACCGAGTAAATGTCATTTGCCAAGTTTCCGTTTCAGGGTAGCATGGTAAAAATGTGGCATGGCAAGGCCAGCTACTCTCTTCAAAACACAATTTTTTTACAATTACAATTTTTTAAAAAATGCTATCCTCCTTTTTGTTGAAAGCCTCGCAGAAAACCTTTTGAAACAAAAGAAGGCTATGGCCTGAATTTATGGACCAAACTTTTTTGTATCCTTATTTTCATTCTTAGCAATTCGTAGTGTTTTGAAGGACTTGGACTAACCCTTCAGACTTTGATGGTTTTACTTTCTGCATTACTTTACCCGAACTATTACTAAATTGTATTCATTTTTTTTCTCATTTCTTTTCAGATTTTAATGAAAACAATGCCCACTTCCATGTTTCGTTTATTAACGGGTCAAGAGACGCCCATTTATATTTAAATATCTTAATATATTTATATATACACTCACACATACAAAAGTAATAATGATAAAATAAATTATTCAAATTAAGCTTTAAGGATCTTACGAAATCATATAATATTATTATTATTAATAGTACTAAAGAAATCTTAATTTTGTATAATTTTCACAAAATGAAAAGATGAAGAAGAAAAACCAACTACTCAAACGTAGAAAGACACGAAGAAAAAACAAAAACAAAACTAATAATAGCATATTATAATAGGCAGCAGTTAGGCAAAAACAAAACAAACTATTTATTAGAAATAAAAAAAAAAAAAACCTAAAAAATTAAACAAAGCTTTGCAGTTGAAAAAGAGGCTTTCAAGAGATGAAAAAAATATATTTGGCTCAAAAAAGCTAAGAAGAAAAACAGCTTATAAAAAACTCCCCGTTATAGAATTTATTTAATTTCACTTGAGATTATTAAAATGAAAACTACTTCGGAAAACAAATTCATTTAAAATGAATTTGTTTGAAAATAATGGCGATAATGATGATGACGAAGAGAAGATGGATTTAGTTTTATATTTCGAACAAAAAGTATTATTGAAAATTGCTCTCGTTTTTCTATTTCTCTTTTTTTAACAAAAAGATGAAAGACTGATAAAATTTTCCTTTTGTTGTGTTTAAATGGCTGCCAGCGTTTAGAGGCCATTGTAAGCCACAACAAATAGACAACAAAACGAAGAAGAACAAATCAATCATAATTTCTTAATAACAACAACAACAACAAAATACAATATAAGCGCATATTAATTTTAAGATTATTATTATAATAATAATTATTACAAAACGATCCGTGAAAAAAAATAACAGAAAAATATAATACTCACCATGATGGCCCCAGTCTTGAAAACTATTTTGAAAACTGCTGCTAATTGCATTTAGCTAACAACAACAACAACAAAATGCCCCCTAGACCATAAAAAATTACAAAAAAACAAATATCTATAATATTTTAGATTTCAAGTCTGTATTCTCTCTATCTCTTTAAGGCTTCAATGAGAAAACAAGATAATGAAACTAATTTCACACAAAAACACACACTCACCCCACCTCACTGTCGTCCATCTTACACTTACAACAACAACAAAAAAAAAACTCACACATCCACAGAGGCATAAACCAAACAGCATCATGATGATGATAATATGCCTGGCCCCACTTTAATTTAATCTTCAACCCCAATTCTAAAATAATTTCATTCGTGAGACTTTTAATTTTTCTAAGTTTTTTATATTTTATGACAATGGGTGTGATTTTGCAACCTTTTTAAAATTGGAATATTCCAAATTTTAAATTATTTCCTCAAGACTTTTCTCTTTTTTCTTCAATATTCACCCGCACACCCAATGTCCGTGGCTTTTTATGCAAATGTTTGTTAACAGAAAAAAAAACAACAGCAAAAAAACATATTTTTAAGCAAAATTTTAGTGCCATTTTTTATACACATGTGTAATTTGTATGTATATATTTCTAGTATATATGTATAGCCATATAAATATATTGCGTTTTATCTATTTATTTTTTTTAATTCCATTGACAAATTGTTACTTAAATATTTAAGTTGAATTCATTAAAACAATATACATTATTTTTTTGCAATATTTAAGAAATTAACGAATTTGTATTGGCCGTGGTTTACCGTGGCTCAAAGCTTAATATTGTTTGCAATCTTAATATTAAAAATATTTTACTTATTTTTAAACAATATTTTGTTTTTTTAAATTGATTTTTAGTGAAATTTTTATTTTACTCTCTTTCTTCCTCCCCGAGAACAAAACAAACAAAAAAGACAATGTTTTCCTTTTTTTTTGTATTTTAATTTTATTTTGTGTAACTACTTGTTTTATTTCTTAGTTTATATAGTTTTATACCAAAAATTTTTTGTAATTATTCTAAATATTATAAATAAATGTGAGCTATATTTGGTTATACTCGAAGCTTATCTAAAGAAATATGTTTTTTTGTGTTTACTAACAAAAAGTTTTTTTTTCGGTAAGTATCGGAAATACTAAGTATCCTCTATCACATATAATGACTCGAAGTAAGATATAAAAGTAGAACAAGTAAAAAATCTGGCCGAACTTTGAATAAATACCCTCCACCATTTGGAACGAATTTGGCAATTTTCAAAAAACAAAAAAAAAAAAAAATAAATAAATAAAATACGTTTAAAATTTATTTTTAAAAATACCAAATGTTGCCGTTATATTAGTGTCCATACGACGACGTTGAACTGCATAGGCAACATTTGTCATAAGCCATTACAATATTCAAATGCGAAATTTGAAAAAAAAATCGGTGAATAATGTAGTTTAAATCATCAAAATACGGAATATCGGGAGGTAGCATTATGGGGGCAAGCACCAAAACGTGGACCGGCACAGATAATTTTCTGTCATAGGCTATAATATCCATTACGAACCTCAAATATAAAATTTGAAACAATTCCGGTGAATAATGCGCTGAAATCATCCAAATACCGAATATTGGGAGTTGCCGTTATATGAGGCCTATACGAAGACGTGGACTTGCACAGACAATTTTCTGTCATTGGATGTAATATTTGTGACCTTCAAATACCAATATTGAAACCATTCCGGTGAATCAATCCGCTAAAATCATCAAAATACCGAATATTGGGAGGTGCCGTTATATGGGGGCTATACGGGGCTATATATACAGGCTGGGATAAAAAAAAACCGCAACAAAGTCAAAAGCCATAATTTTTACTTTTTTTTTAAATTTTATTGAATAAAAGCAAAAAATATCGGATATAGCATCAATTTTTAGAGTGAGTTTACATATGTCACCTTTGGCACTAATTATGGCCTTAAAGGTGATATACACTTTGGTATTTTTAGTGCCAACCGTGCTTTCCAAAATACTCCAGACACAATAGTCCAACGGATTGGTTTCCGGATATTTTGGTGGCCATTGTGCGCTGGAAATGAAGCGAGGAACCTCATTTTGTAACCATTCTTCTGAGTGCGATGGTGTTGAGTCCTGTTGGAATGTCCAAGGTGTGCGGCCAAAATGTTTGAGTGCCCAAGGCTTTAATACACCCTCCAGAATATTACCTTGATAATGTTCGGTATTTATTCTGATGCCACGGTCGATTAATACGAGCGGAGAGTGACCATCGGCTGTTATGGCGGCCCACACCATCACCATGGCCCGCGCTTGAGTTCTGGTGGTCAACCGAAGTTGCACATTTTCAGCTGACCTCTTTGTTTGTTTACAAACTGCTGGACAACGAGTGTTTTCTCATCGGAGTAAACCAAATTCGGCAGTTCACCACTTTCGGCCAAGCGAAGTAAATCTTTAAATCTTTTGAGTCTATTTTTTCTGTTGCGGTGTAAGTTCTTGCACTTTTTGGAGTTTCAATGGCTTTAGCCCGAGCTCATTTTTCAATATTTGCCGAATGGACGAGCCATTTTTAAGCCACTGCGACGTGGGTTTCGATCAAGCCGCTTCTTTACTTTTCGAACCATTTCTGCTGATGTTGCTGCTTTCTTCCGTCCACTTCCTTGACGTCGGGCTACGCTACCAGTATCACGGTAACGAGCGATGGTACGAGACACAAAAGATTTATTCACATTAAAATGCTGGAGTGCTCTAACGATAGCCATCACGCTTGAATTCCATCACGAATTACTTTTTTTCTTGAAAATTCTCACCAAAATGCTTTTGTACACTTGTAAACAATATAATGAGGTGTCACTGGAATGATTTTAACAGCTGTCGGACGAGTGGCTTTGAAATGACAGCAGCTTGAAGTTGGTTGCAGTTTTTTTTTCATCTCATCCTATATATATATATACTTTGTGAGGTCTAAAATGTATATTTCGAGGTGTTACAAACGAAATGACAAACTTAATATACCCTCCATAATATGGTGGAGGGTGTAATACAAATTTGCATCAATAATATATTGGGCATGGTGTTTTAAACCGTCAACATTTAATGAAAAAACATAACTCAATAAAGTCAGCAAATTGACTTTTAGTAACAAATTTCAATATTAATTTTAATTTGTGTGGGGGGTAGCATATAGCCGAACCATTTCAACTTTCGGCCTTGCCTCACTGGCTCAATGGAAATGCCTTGAATGCTTTTCATATATTTCGAATTTCAATAAAAATAATAATTTTCTTAATTACTTGATATACAACATTTCTTCCGGTATCATCATGTCTATTCCCACGGATATACAATGTCATGAGACCCACATCCACATATCCTGCCTGTACATATGACGATACATCATCAATCCTTTCATATTGTCATCGGTGTCATCATCATCATCATCATCAATATAAACAACATCATTAATAAGCACACTGTCATTGATAATTTTTGCCTCCACATATATGAGTGTGTGTGTGCGCGTATATCTTCTGCTGGTCCTGCGTCACATTTGATGGCTAAATTATTGTTAATAATGGCCATACAAAGAATGAACGATGTTGCAATTACTGATTGCTACGCATCAACTTCACATTACAGCTCGCAATGACGTTATGATTGCGATTGACATTCAGCTTTAATGTGTCACTCAGGCAGGCAGTCAGCCAGTCAGTCAATCAGTGCTACCAGAAATGCAGGAAGGAATATTCTTAATATCCTCTGTTCGAAGGATGCAATGTATCTTTGCTTTTGTTTTAAATTAATCGACTATGGCCCCCCTAAAGGAAGAATATTTTAGGTTAATGGATATTAAAATCACATTAATCGAAATGGTTGGGTGTTAAGTCAATTTATTTGCAATAATGGATCAGCCCGTGGAAGTGTTGAGTCAATCAATAATGAAGTTCGGGTTACGGATGACAATAATGGCTTCCATTAAGGAAGCTACGGAAAAGTGCAGCATAATGGTGAAGTACATTAAAAATTTCAATTAATTTAGCAAATTATATAATTGCAAATTTTAAAATGTTATGGTATTGTAGTAGAAGATAAAATTTGTGAAACGTAGAGATATTTAAAAATTTGTCAGATGGAGGTACCGTAAAAGTCTTGCATATATCTTGACATGCAAGTTTTTTATCCATCGAAGGCCTGTCCAAAGGTCTACTGTCCTTGGATGACTAAAAATCGTCTCTAGTCCAAGAACCATAAATCGTCTCTAGTTATGGTATCATTGATAAAATGAACAAGTAAACAAAGGCTATAGCCGTGCGGGGCCGACCATGTGATACCCTACAACACTACAATATATTATTATTTGGAAGATTTCGCATTTGAAATTATGTCACGGAGCACCAGGAATATTTGCTTAATATTTACGCACTTCATCGTGCTGTTAGTTGTTGTGCTCCATTTTACAGCTAAATATAATCCAATGGTTATCCAAAATGCTAGACTTCTTCCCTGACCTTAACTCTCTTCTCAGGCGTGTTTATTGGCTTCAATTGTTTGATCAGGAATTTTTTTCTATTTTTGGTTCATTTGAACCCCTAAATATTTTGCGATCATCACCAAAAGTAAGAGTCCTCTCTGTATTGCAAATTTACACTAATCTATATGATTTGCTTGTCTACGATATTTGGCTATATTCGTCAACGAAATAAAAAAACCAGAAGTTCAGATTTTGTGTACATTGGATATGCAATCTGTATATAATAGCCCCAACCTGTGTTGTAAGCTGAAAAAATATTACAAAATGTACATTTGGAGATTATAAGTCTAATTGAAAAAATCGCCAGCGATAAAAAAAATATGAAAAAATAAAAAAATGTCACAAAATACTACAAAATCTATATTAACATCATTATTGACCTCTTTTTATTATATTATTCTTTTATGCCAGGAGGGCATTCAGAATTGACAAAATTTGTCAAAATCGGTCCAGCCATTGTTGAGATATAAGCATTTTAGCTAACATCCCCTTCCTTTGTTTATACACATGGTATATATTTCGCTATGTATATCCGATATAC